TTTATGTACTTTTCTGTGTGTGTGTGCGTGTTTCTCTTAACGGATCTGAAAGTCTTTGACGCTAGTTTATGCAGCCAAAAAGCATGCCTAAATGATTTCCATTCAAGAGCAAAAGTACCGTCAGTCACGCACGCATAGCGCCTTCCAGTGCTCTGTGTGGGAAATTTGCGCTCTTTGTGCCGTCGAATGGACAAACGAAAATTTCCCTTAAGCAAGGAGCCGGCTATAAAAGCGCGACAACAGCGCTGCAGCGGCTCATAAAGCGACGGCAAACGCGACGCGGCAGTTGCCAAAGCAGCGAGCATAAGGCGAAGCAGCGAAAGCGTGCGACGACTAAAACACGTAAAGGACCGTTAAGAGCCGTTAGAGCAAGAAAGTAACGGTACAAACAAGACGCCTATGCAAATGATTCGCGTGCGTATGTGGCTGTTACGCTGAGCTTGTGTGTGTGTGCGTGTGTGCTGTGTGTGTGCGTGTTCGTTCGAGTTCGTTATTTTTGTTCTTGTGCTCAAATTGCCGCAATAAAAGTGCAAAATTATGTGGCACATGTGAGTGGTGTGGACACATTGAACGGACACCAGAGAAGCAGCAGCAGAAGAAGTGGCACAAGCAGCAGCAGCAGCAGCAGCAGCAGAGGTAGCAAACCGAAGCAGCAACAATAGCAGGAGCCAACGGCCACGTAACGGTACGTAAAGCAACGCGTGCTGTCACCTGAGTCCTGCTCCTCCTGCCACGCCTCCCAGCTGCAAAAGTTTTTAAATCAATTTAATGAGTGCTCGTTTTCTAATTAGTTAATAAATCATTTTTGAATTTCTTTGTCGGCTCTAGCCGACTGTATAATACTCTGCACATGGTTTGGGTTTCAATTGCAAGTGAAGGATTTAGCGTATCATTCTAGGGAATTTGATGCCTATTGATCATGAATATATGTATATATAATATGTGTATATGCTTCAATATTTTTGACTCTTTTTAATATTACAATCTATTATAGATTCAAATGACAAAAAACATAAATTTCCTATATAATTTGAATTTGCTTAATTGATGTAATATGGAATATCGACAAAAAAAAAAAAAAAAATTTTAGTTAAATTTCCTTATCAGCTTAAGTAAGTTTTAGGCTACCAAAAATATTGAATAAAAATACTGAAGCTCTCTAAGTGGAGTAAGAATTTTAAATATCCCAAAGGGATCGAATAACAAAACTATTATACCCTATCATGAATAACAAAACTATTATACCCTAATTTCCAATTTTCAATGGGTTCAGGGTATAAAAATATGTAATGAAGTACTAAAAATGGAGCAAGAATTTTAAATTTTTAAGCTAAGACTCGTTTAAACTAGTTTAAATATAGTTATTGTATATAAGATTTTTATACTTTAGTATTTTTATAATTTGTATACAGGTAAATATTTAAAGAGACTATGTAATACTCATTTACTGTTAAAACGCTTTTGCTCTAAATCGATGGAAGATATGGGTTCATCCAACTGATATTAGGTATATTTATAAGACGCTATAGGCGGAGTTGTTATAACTGGATTTTACTGTACTTGTTCAGTTCATAGAGGAAGTGAAGAGGAATAAATGAAGGATTGACTTGATAAATGAATATAATATTCATACATATAAAACATTTTAGAATTTTATGGCTTGAATTGAACTTTAATTATTATAATAATTAATTATAATAAAAATAAAGCAAATAATGACCATATATACTCGCAAAGAAAAAATTTAAATGAAATTCCAAGGCATAAGTTAGGTATGTGACTCAAATTAAAGTGTGAATCAAGATTGCCGTTGGAATTATGATACTAAACCTGGCGATAAATGGGATAAGCTAAGTACTTATAATTTAGTTTTTTGTTTGTTTTTAGTTTGTTGAGGCATAAAATGTTCATAAAAAAAAACTTTCATATGTAAATATTATTCTTATGTATAAACTAGTTTCAATTCATCTATAAGTATCCTCAACAATTAATGTTAATAATATTATAATAATAAGAGTGTAGCAAAACTTTATTTACCAACTGTACATATGAATTAAAACTCTAAATTGGAATACAAATATTACTAAATAAACTATTTTGGGAGAGTCTAAAATGAACGCGATATCAACTAACTACACTAACTATATACTCTATGAGGTCTGCCACGCCTCTCTGATTTGCCTTTAATAATGGCTTTTAGGCATTAAAAAACAAGTTTTATGTTAAGTATAGTTATACAAGTTAAAGCTTTAAAGATGTTGCTTAAGTAATATTTACAAATGCAATATGCAACAGTCAATTGTTAGTTAAACAATGCAGTTAATACTCTAAATATTTGATAAACAATGCCAAATTTGAGAACGAGCTGGAATTCATTTATGGCTTTATCAAATATGTGCGCTGAGCGTCGATAGCCAGGCTTTCATTGCATGCATCATTCACTCAGTCGACGACGACTTGGCCCTATTGAAGGTGGCCGCCATTAAAGCCATGTTAGTGGAATGTGTGTGTCTGTGTGTGTGTGTGTGTGTCTGTGTGTTATAGAGGAAGTGTGTCTGAATGACTTTTCTTACATTGTTTGGATTTTCATTTCGATTGGATTCGTTTCCTTTTGGTTTGCGTTCGTTTCATTACATTCCGATTGAATCGAATTCACTTTTACTGGTAATGAAGCTAGTTGGCATTGGCCATGGTCAGCACACACTCACACACACACTCACACACACTCTCTCACAATACTAGTTAACATATTTTTATGGACCCGTTGTCGCCAAAGTGTCCTCTAGTTTCAGCAGCAACTTCAGCTTCGAGTGCCATTTGCCAGCGGTCAGAGTGTCGGGTGGGCGGTGGCGGTGGCGGTGGCGGGGGGTGTTACAATAGCTATTGGCGGCCTGTGGATTGCCCGCTTGATTGGCCCCTCGAATGAAGTGGAACGGTTGGGGAATAGAAGGCGTTAAAGGGTGGTTGGGGCATGTTTTATGTTCCGCTTCACATATGCCATTGTTTGACTGTGTGTGTGCGTGTGTGTGTGCCTCTCTCTCCCTCTCTGTGTATAAATCGCACTGTTGCAGAGCTATCAAATAAAACAGGAACTCAGCCAATCTATATATAGCCGCGTGCAGCTTGCAAACTTTCAATTGCTCAGTTTTTGTGCAATGAAAATAAATCAGATTCCATTCAGGGAGTCCGACCTAAAAGGAAGAAGCCAAGTTGAAAACAAATACGAGCGCTGCAATCGAGAGTGCCCGACTAGGCAATACCCTGGAGCTAATGCGAGGATTTATATATCTTTTCTATATACACATATCTATATGTATGTATATAATAAATGTTAAATACAAACACTCATACACTCAAACATTTGATCCGCTTACTGTGCAGTTAAGTCCATTTGATCTCCTTAAGCCAGAAAACTAATTATTGAATAACTTCTATTCTACATGATCTTACTTAATCAAACTTTCAGACCGTGGTAACGACATGTGGCAAGTTCTAAGTGCATTATAGAAACTTTCATAGTAAATTTGCAGTTTCCTTAATCGATAATCAAAAATTGGTATAAGTTATAAAACTCGTAATGCAAATGAATTTTTCATGTGCATATTCCCGTTTCCTTGGGCTTAGGCTAGAATAGAATCGAGTAAAAGAATATGCTAATAATTATGTGTATTCGAAATTGGAATACAAATAGATTGGGTTAAAAAAAAAGTAAGGAATTCAAAGCGTGGAATTTTACAATAGTTATGATAATGAGCAATCAATTTACCTCCTAGTTTTGTTACTGCATAAGTACGTAGTACTTAGCAATCGATTATGCATTCTTATAATACTACTTTTCCTTTAAAGATTTACTTTATAGAGCTTACCACGACGCTGAGTTGCAGTCAGCACAGATGTTATAAGAGTGAACTGAGAAATTGGATAGACCACGTTGATGAGTTATGATAATAAGTTGAATTACGAATTATGATTGGCGAATCGTTAGAAGAGAGAGAATGAATGAATGAAAGAAATTTGCAATAAAAAATAAATCAAAATGAATTAAAATTCATGAATTTAATAAATAGTGCAATACAATTTAGATTACAGGCAAGGTCTAAGATAATTTAGGAAAGAAACTGCCCAAAAGGGCTTTTTTTCGTGTTTTATTTTAAAGGAACTTTTTGTGTTAAATATATATAAAATATATTATATATTAATATATTAATTGCCTGAAGGCCTTTGTCGCTCCGGCTTAAAACTTGTTATTTAGAATTAATTCATGGTAATAATAAATAAATAAATTAATAAATAAATCGATTCATGATCACATGGCATATCACATAGAATATTCCACGACTAAGTACTACAAGTAAATTCAAGAGTATCTGAAAAAATTTATCGATAATAGCTGGGCATGAATGTGATATAGGTATATGTTCTCTATATAGTATAAGAATAAATAATATCAGATAATGAAAACGACAAGCCATCATATACAGAGTATTATAGTCATTGTAGCCTAAGAATTGTCTGTCAGTATTAAATGAGCTGTTATTTTCAAAGATTTTCGCACTGTAGTATGAAAACTATTTAAGATAACTGGATTTTAATCTCAGGAACTATTGCCTAGCTAACCAAAAAAAGTTCCCACATATGTACTATATAGGAACTGCATTTTATTTCGCTCAACTATCTAATCTCAATTGCCTGTCAAATTTGACATGAGGATAAATGATATGGTCTTGACAGCTGAGGCAAAGCAATTGCCAAGAGAAAGAGGATTAGCCTAGAGACTACACAGCGGGCCGAATTGAATCGTGCCCTGGGGAGAGCCGGCACAGACTAAGCCAAGTTGACAGCTTGCTGGCGGACAGTGTGGGTAAACGCGCCTTAAGCGGCGCTGGCTTCATTAGACGCTTGCCAACACTCAAATAAAGCCCCAGAGGTCAAGCGGATGATTCATTAATGCAATTAGCAGTCAAACCAATGCCTCCAATTTTGCGAATTTCTCTTTGCAGACAGCCGAAACCGCAACAGCAGCAGCAGCAGGGCGTGGCAAGCAGAAGGCGGAAGGGAACTGGAGGCGCGCCTCCAAATGCTCATTGAAATTTACGATTATGCTGCGAAATTATTAAACAATATGACCGCAACAACAGCAAGCATCATTAATAATCTAGCCAGCGGGGCGGAAGGGACAGCTGGAGTGGACAGAGCGGACAGAGCGGGCGGGGCGGAGCGAACGGCGAGTCCGAATCCCACGACGGCCACAAATCTAACGTCCAAACTGCTGCAGGCGACAACGGGCAACATGAAGACGCTGCTGAATCGCACGCTGGCCACAATGGGCGGCCAGCGTGGCACATTGACCACCCTGCTGCTCCAGGGCGGCCTCGGCACGGACGTGGCCAGCGGGCAGCGAGTCCGGCAACTGGCCGATGCCAATGGCAGCGTGCATGCCACGGGCAACGAGAGCGTCAGCCATGGCCAGGATATGTACAATGCATTTAATGTCACGTCGCCGTCGTCGTCGTCGTCGCCCTCAGCGCACACAGTCGGCTTCATCGAATCCTCGACCACGGCCGCCAGCACAGTGCTGAGCAGCGCCATCACCAATCTGCCGGCGACGAGTGGCCCGGCCGCCACATTCCCAGCCCAGACGATGGCCACCATCATCGCGGCCGGCAACAAGAATCGAGCCACCACCATTATCCTCTATCCAACGGGTGAGTTCCAAATCACAATTCAGTTACAGTTTGCCCTAATGGCTATATAATGTTTGTTGCATGAAAGGGCACATAGAGAGAGGGCGAGACAGAGATAGAGGGAGAGAGAGGCAGAGCGAGAGTCACAAAAGGCATTCACAGATGATGAAGGCTCCACATAACTCCAATTTCAGTTGGTATATACTGAAAATTTCATACGTATTATGCAAATGGAAGCGTTTGGATTGTTGGATGTGATACTAGAGGCGTGTTCGTATGCATTGTTATATAAATATATATATAGCCTACTTATTCCGTCTGACAGTCCAAGGGGTCCATCTGTTCGTTCTATATCCGTTCATCAGTCTGCCCATCGGATAGACGCAGACGAATAGAGGGAAATACAGGCGGAAGGACACATAGACGGATGAATAGATGGACAGAAGGATTGAAAGATATACGCCCATAGAGACGGATGGATGAATGAAGGGCAAACGGGCATACGACTCTGGGTCACATCGTCCCTCCGTCTAGCGCTGCCTCCCTTCGTCTCCTCCTCCATCTCTCTCCCAGTCCTTCCCTGCGTTCATCTATCCATTCGCCTGCCCATCCCTCCGCCTGTGTTTAATCCGTCTCGCCATATTCATTCATGCACTTCTTGGAACTCTATTGATAAAATCGCAAATGTGATTGAATTCTATTTATGCCACATTCCACTTTTGTTGTCCCCTTGCCATTTCCATTGCAGACGTTGCGGCAGAGTCGGAGGCCACGTTGAGTAAAATATTATATACATATATACATATATTATATTATAGACGCTTACGTGGTAAATAGAGTATATCTGTCTGTCTGTCCTCTTAAATGCAAATCATTTGAAATTGAAGAGCTGAATATGTGAATAAATAGACCAATGTGTCATAGGTGCACCAGGTTTGAATATGTCGACGAGGTTTCTATTATATGGAAATATATCTAGTTGTCACATCACGAAGGTGTAATATGTATGTGAAAAGATATCTATTATAATAGCTACCATTCAATGTGGAGACCTAGAAAATGAATTTTATCAAGCCTTAAACATAGCAAAAAGCTGGCTATACGGGACCATCTATAGCCTTAGCGTTATATACCCTTATATACACTTAACCCTTAACTTATACCCTTAACTTATTCGTTGACCAAGTTCTTATACATACATAGATAGATAGATTCGATAACTTAGTTGTTATTGGGTGGCTCCATTGATTTCTGAATATGATTTATATACTTATACTTCTTTTGAGTTTGAAGAGTTTCGGAACTTAAGAACCAAAAAAGGAGTAACCCGAAATTACTTAAAGAATACCTGCACTTTTAACTAGATGGTATATGTGTATACATATATATACATATTGCCTATGTATGAGCAGAGTCTTTGATAAAACAGCCCAGTAAGACTCTCAGAGCACCTTCAAGTCAGGAAGAGCACTCTCTCTTATATGAATTGAGTAAGGCAAGTAAAAGTTAAACTATTACAAGGAGGATTATTCGCCCTATGTAACAATAGATTTACTTTGATAAGACTTTTTTTTATCAAACTGTTTTTAAATTACATAGCTCTAAATCGAACAGAATGAGTCTGACTCATAAAGTATAAAAGTTCGAGCGGCTATCGCCATAATAATCTACTGCTCCATCTGCTGTTTTCTCTTTCGGCGAGCTTACAAATCTTATTTAACACTTAAGCTCCTTGAACCGAACTGAACTGAGCTGAACTGAAGCTTAACAAATGATTATTTTTCTTGACTTGAAAGCAGTGGAGCCTCAGGCCAAACATGATTGGATTTTAGTTGTAAAACTTTTGACGCACCGCCAGCTGCAGAACAGGGAAAACTTTAGTCCAACGAGCGACTTAACCAATAATAACGGAATAATATATTTATAGCATTGCCATTGTTATTCGAAACTATCCACTCACAATTGTACCAGCTAGCTTTGCGCTCATTATAATTGCTAGGCCAGCATGGCCTGCCTGGTGCTTGCCTTCCCTTAGAAATTGAATGGGCCTCTTTGTCTGGCATGCTTGGTCGAAGCTAACATAATGACTAATGAACTTTGACCTTTGAGAAGCCTAGTTGGAGATTCATAGAATTTGATGACTACTTATTGACATGAACATTAATACTCGACTTCCGCTCAATTGAAAGTCACTTGAGGAAATTGTGAAAAGCCACCGAAAAATGTGGCATATGAAGAGACAATTTTCATATGTAATATAAGCATGTGCTTGTAGTTCTGCTAAGAGAGTAAAGTAGTAAGGATTACAATGACCTTGTTAAAGCTGACCTCTTCGTTTAGGTACTTACTCGATCTCGATTCCCAGGGGTCTCACCCATTCAGACGTACTAATGCAGCGCATTTAATGGATGGTCGAACGCTTCATTTGCCAAGTCCTTGGCCAATTGCTTTTTTGGGCGCCTGTCAACGCAGCTGGCACTTAATCATAATTGTGACTTAAGTCCAATTCGGCGCTAAGCTGAATAATGTGGTCAACTAATTCCGATTCGCCAATCGCCAGTTGGCAGTCGCTTGGCTGCTGATTAGCACGCTTCGCACATCAATTTTTGTCAGTGAGCTCCCTGCCACGCCCCTGGCGGCGCCTCTTCAATAATCAAATCAACTCGGCCTATTTAGACTGACGAACAGGCAGCGAGTCAGAGGGACGCACGGACGGAGATATGAGGGAATGGAGTCGCGTGCCAGCCCCAATTAGGGGCTAATTTGCATAATGCCGCTCGCTCGCTCGCTCATTATCCCCAATAGCGCCATCCATACAGTAGACAATATGAGCCCCGACTTCCATTTTTGTTTCTTTTTTGTTTTTTGTCCATAGAAGGCTCTATTTCTTTTAGAATACCCTGTTTGCATTGGGGCGGTGTAAAAGGTGGTTGCAATAAACAAAAGCATTACGTCGATATACATAAAAGTGTATATATGTGGACTGCTATCTCTTCGTGTATATATGCAATCAGTGTGAATATCGACTGTCAATACAATACATGGCTCCCAGAGGGGTTTATTATATGCATAAGAGAGTATAAAAATGGATTTAGAGGAAGGCTTTAGAGGAGAGTATAAACAAATATCTAGGAGACAGTATAGAAAATGCAAGAGAGGAGTGAGAAAAATGAAGTCTTTGTGCAAAATCGATATTAATCGATAAAGCTACATTTCTTTTTTAGCTGTTTCCTAGATCTTAACAGTACGGAGATGTCAATTTTAAGCTCCAAATGCACCAAAATCTTGTTGTATTACCAGAGTATATAAAATAGTTATCATATAATAAATATAACAAAAATGACTTAGCAAATTGCTTAAAGATTAAAGTCTCTATTATAAATCACCCAAGTATTTCCGACAGCTCTTAACTTTCTCGTAATGCTAACTACATTCCTGCTGGGACCATTCATCAACTTAGTATAGCAGCTATAAATAACCGACTTAATGCTGAAGTATCTCTCAGAAAACCCTTAAGTTTCTACAGGGTAGCTACGCTTCGAGCATTGCCTGTCTAAGACGCGCATACTTATCTTTGCACTTATGGTAGCACTGCAAGCTTCATTCGGCAATTGGGGCAAGTGTAAGACAGAGACAGAGACAGAGAGATCCCTGAGTTAGCGACAGAGAGACAGGGGGAAGGGGGGGTAAAGTAAGTTAGGGGAACAGCTTACGACCTTACGACCCTTGGGCCTAATGCAGCAATTAGGCAAGTTTAAGTCGCATTAATTGCAGAGTTTGGTCGACTATTAACGCGACTGGAACCGTTGATTATTTTAAGCGCCAGCAGCACTCAACTTGGCTCTGAGCTGCACGCGCTTCAGGCGTTCACAAAATCACGGAGAGTGAGGAGTGGGGGGAGAGGGAGGAAAGAGACTGAGTGCTGACTCAGTTTGTTACCATTAGGGCAAATCAGAGAGACGTCGTCAGCGTCGACAACGTTAATATCTCATATCCTAATCACGACGCTTATCTGTTTATATCAGCAACGCGCAGCGACATTGTCAGCGCTTTCATGGGCCTGCGGCCTGTCTTTATGCTGGGCCGAGGCTGGCATCAAAATACTTTTCGACCAAAGCCAGCCAACTTGTCCATTTCCACAGCAACAAAGCGACAAGCAGGCCAACAATAAAACTAAAAAAGAAAATACACAACAAAAGGAAAGTGCGTAAATTTCATTGAAAGAAATTGCTTAGACACCAAACGCCCACCATGCTTTCCATGCCACAAACAACATACTGCATACGTGCCACAAAAACTATCCGCATGCAACAATTCCTCGAGCGGCCATTGCTGCAGTCATGTTGCAGGCCAAAATGCTGCAAGAATTTTGTGCCAGATAGTTGGGCAAATATGTTTGTCGGACTCTTCGCAAGCAGATTGTCTTGCTAGCCGAATACTTGTCACAAATAGTTTCGTCGAAGCGCAAAGTTGCTCGCAAAATAAACTCGGGCCACGTAGAAACACCATTCTGTGTTTTTATTACAAGTAACATGGAGACTAACAGCAGCAAGCTAACTACTATACAGCTTCTAGGTCGTAAAGTCGTACATATATGGTTATTAAGTCAGTTAGTCAATCAGCTAATCAGATATTGAAAGAGCTGATTAGCTAATCTCTTGCATAGCCAACTAATTAGTCAAACAGCCAATCAAGCAGTCACCGAATCAGTCAATCAGCTAACAAATCAATCAGCTAAGGCTGATTGAGTCATCACTCTATTAGATAGTCAGTCAAACAGTTCATCAATCAGACATTGAGTCAATCGATATATTTACTTTGTTAATCAGTCAACCAATCTGGATACCCTTGAAATAATTTAGTAATCCTGCTTAAACACATGCTAAGTATGCTATATAATATCAGTCAAACAATCAGTCAATCATTTATTTACTCAATCAGCCGCACAGTATACGAGTTAGTCAACCAATTAGTTTTTCAATCAATTCAGCTAGTGTGTTGCTCAAGTAGTACTGAATCAA